ATTTCTATATCGAAATCATTTTTTGTTGTTGTAATCGGATTGGTAATATATAAGTATTGCGATTGCAGGTTTCAGGGCCTGTTGTTGTTGCCGATGGTATGGCTGGTGCTGCTATGTACGAATTAGTCCGTGTTGGTCATGATAATTTGATTGGAGAAATCATCCGTCTTGAAGGAGATTCTGCCACGATCCAAGGTTTGTTCTCTTGTGGTTCTTAGTGTAATTGACTTTGTTGCTCATCTTATCTGTCAAATACTTGGATCTGGATTGAACATTTTATGTGGTTATATATCTTAACTGATATATTGGTAACGTTCTTTTTATCAGTTTACGAGGAAACTGCTGGATTGACGGTTAATGACCCTGTTCTTCGAACTCACAAGGTTTGTGAGTTCCTTATCTTGGCTTTATTTTGTTTGATTTCATCTAATGTTCATCTGCAGCTAACATATGATCTGACCTGAATTTGCAGCCACTTTCTGTGGAGCTTGGACCAGGAATATTGGGAAATATTTTCGATGGAATTCAGGTTCAGTTGGATTTAGAATCTTGTCAGATGAAGTTTTGGGTTTTATGATTCGTTTTAACATTACAAATTGCAGACTGTGGCTTCTCATGATTCTTTGGTTTCATTTCTTTAAATATCTCAGAGGCCTTTGAAGACTATTGCAAGAATATCTGGTGATGTGTACATCCCTCGTGGTGTGTCTGTCCCAGCTCTTGACAAAGATTGTCCTTGGGAGTTCCAGCCGAATAAATTTGGTAATATGTTCTACTCCATTTTACTGTCTATGATAGTGTCGTATGGTCTTAATCTTGATTTTCAACTGAATTTTACTTCGTTGCAGTTGAGGGAGACACAATAACTGGTGGTGATTTGTATGCTGTAAGTTTACTGGCCTCCTTCTTAATCTGCTCTTGGCAAGGGAATAAATTTTACACACTGGGAATAGTGTTTCTGAAAGTCAAACATAACTTTGGAATGCAGACCGTATTCGAGAACACTCTGATGACACACCATGTTGGCGCTCCTCCAGATGCCATGGGAAAGATCACTTACATTGCTCCAGCTGGTCAATATTCCCTAAAGGTTTGAGTTTAACTTTTTCTCAAACCATTATAAATAAATACATTTCAATAGTCTTTCTTCCTGGATTTCTTTTCCTTCAACGTTTTTATGGCTTACTTGTTCAATTGGTAACCATTTCCTGGTGGAGATCATGATTGTCTTGCTGCTTATAGTTGTTTGTCGGCATTTTTCATTTCCCAGGATACAGTACTAGAGCTTGAATTCCAAGGGGTCAAGAAATCGTACACCATGCTTCAGGTTTGCATGTACCTCTAATCTTCCTACTTGCAAGCGTATATCTTAAGCTAAAATCTTTTTGGTTGATAATATGTCAGAGCTGGCCTGTACGTACGCCTAGGCCAGTTGCATCAAAGCTTGCTGCCGATACTCCTCTACTTACGGGACAGGTGATTACTCTATTAATTTTTTTTACAATGGTGATAGTCATTCGTAGACGTGTGTCCCTAATAGCTTTCTTTTCCTGTTGTCAGCGTGTCCTTGATGCCCTTTTCCCCTCGGTTCTTGGTGGAACCTGTGCCATTCCTGGTGCTTTTGGCTGTGGGAAAACTGTTATCAGTCAGGCACTTTCCAAGGTAGGTTGTGACAGTGTTTCGTTCATTTAATTACTGGATATATCGAATTTCCAAAGCTAATTTGTTCTTATATACACAGTACTCCAACTCTGACGCCGTTGTTTACGTTGGTTGTGGAGAGAGAGGAAATGAAATGGCTGAGGTACATTTCTTCTCATTCTGAATATGCATATTGTTCATACCTATCATAAATTTGGTCTGATGGTTTTTTCATAAATTAGGTTCTCATGGACTTCCCACAATTGACTATGACGTTGCCTGATGGTCGTGAGGAATCTGTCATGAAACGTACTACACTTGTTGCCAACACCTCTAACATGCCTGTGGCTGCTCGTGAAGCCTCAATTTACACAGGTAATTTTCAGGCATGTAGGTTTAATAGTTTCTGAAAAAGCCCATTTCCCATTAATAACAAACTGCACATTCAATTTTTTTTTTTGTAATGTGAATTCCAGGAATCACTATTGCTGAGTATTTTAGAGATATGGGGTACAATGTTAGTATGATGGCAGACTCAACTTCCCGTTGGGCCGAAGCATTGAGAGAAATTTCAGGACGGCTGGTAATCTTTTGCGTCTTACTTTTGCTTTATGGATTTTCATGTTGTTCTCATCTTGCTACTCTTCTTCTCAGTTTGGTGATACCCATTTTGCTTTGTTTTAGGCTGAAATGCCTGCCGACAGTGGATATCCTGCGTATCTAGCAGCACGTTTAGCTTCTTTCTATGAACGTGCTGGTAAAGTAAAATGTCTTGGTGGACCAGAACGTGATGGAAGTGTCACAATTGTTGGTGCTGTTTCACCTCCTGGTGGAGACTTTTCAGATCCTGTGACTTCTGCAACCCTTAGTATTGTGCAGGTGATTGTTTGGTTCATGGCTGCTTGCTTATCTTCCATAGTACATATTCAGATATGTTGATCGAGATGAACCAGATGGTGGTTTCTTTTGAATCTGCTGGAGACTCGTATATATTATAAGCATTTTTTCTACTTTGAAGTACTCACTGTTCCATTTTGGTTGGGTTTTTCTGCAGGTCTTCTGGGGTTTGGACAAAAAGCTTGCCCAGAGAAAACATTTCCCTTCTGTTAATTGGCTGATTTCCTACTCTAAGTATTCGACGGTATGCTTTAATATTCTCGGTGTTCTTCAAACATTCTTGGTCTACTATCTCGAAGTTCTTGTATATATAAAAAGCTGCTTGGTTTTTTCAGGCATTGGAATCTTTCTATGACAAGTTCGATCCAGACTTCATCAACATCAGGACAAAGGCAAGAGAGGTGTTGCAGAGGGAAGACGATCTTAATGAAATTGTCCAGGTACATGTCACTTATCATTGTACTAGTACCTAGTGTTGTGACTAAACTCTAGTCTCTTAGCGATCCTAATACATTTTAAGGTTTTGAACAATAATTCTCTCTGAAAGGAACTTATTTGACCCGCACATTACGGTTTGCATGTAGCTTGTAGGAAAAGATGCGCTAGCGGAAGGTGACAAAATCACCTTGGAAACAGCTAAGCTATTGAGGGAAGACTACCTTGCTCAAAACGCCTTTACAGCGTAAGATTCGGCTCCCTTTGTTTTGCATTTAATCTCTCTTTCTCTATTAATGGATAATTTACGCTTGAACTTTTTGGATGAACTTTTGACAGATATGACAAATTCTGCCCTTTCTACAAGTCCGTGTGGATGATGCGTAACATTATCCATTTCTACAACCTAGCCAATCAGGTAAATCAGATGTTGATTCATTATACACTTTTGTCAATAAAATCTCACAGTTGTAATTCGGTCTCTGTTGTTGGTGATGTTACACAGGCGGTTGAAAGAGCAGCTGGAATGGACGGTCAAAAGATTACATACACTCTCATCAAGCATCGGTTGGGAGATCTTTTCTACCGTTTAGTGTAAGCAACCCATTTGTTTCCTACGAAGTCACGTAAATCAATTATATAGCTTTAATGAAATGATCTGAACAAAAAAAAAATGTAAATTATGTAAACTACAGGTCTCAGAAGTTCGAAGACCCAGCAGAAGGAGAGGATGCGCTGGTGGAAAAATTCAAGAAACTGTACGATGATCTCACCGCTGGATTCCGTGCCTTGGAGGATGAATCTCGGTAAGCTGTTCCATCTCCACAAGTCCGAAAAATCCTCGGAATCGGGTTGTTTTTGGAGGAAAGAGGTTTCATCTTCTCTTGTGTTTTTGAACCAACAACTATCATAGTGGTCGGTATTTTATTTATCGGTTTGTGGATCGATCGAGTTTAGCTCTGTGAACGCCATGATTCTCCGGCTGTGCTGCGCTGTGTAATATGTTTGATTCGTTGTTTTTTGTTTTCATTTTAATGGTAATAAGGTACAGCCACAAGTGAGTCACATATATTTGTTTTGATGTACCTCTCAATTCAATAAGTTATATTATCATGTCCAAAATGTATTGAAAACCTTTTTGGGGCTACAGTTTCTCATAATACTACTATCATTTTGTATTACTTTCCATCTTTGCTCTTTAGTAAAAATATTTGTTTCATTGTTACTACTATCAAGTATCAAGAAAATCACATCCATGAGTGCCAATTCGCGTTTTTCTATGTTATATTGTTGTTGACAGAAAAATATATTTACATATC